TTTTTTTTCACCTAGTATTTGCATTACTAGCTCTGTGATGTTTGCAGGTGTGTTAGATATTCCTAAGGCAAATAGGGCACCATAAGGGGGCAAAAAAAGAAAAAAAAAAAGAAACGCCTGAGTTTTTACCTTAGCATGCAAAAACAGACAAGGTTTTCTTTCCTTTTTGCCTATGAATTTAGAGGTTCGTAGAGCCAGTCTGACCCAAGTCCCCGCGTACTGCAACATCGCTAAGACAATGGCCTGGAAGTGCGCGTGCGTTGTTAACAAAGACGTCCGAGGTCGGGTGCGACAGTCTTGACAAACGTTTAGTTCGTGCTCTTTTGTTCCACGCGAAGGGGGTCGGCAGCAAGTCCTTCTAACTAGCCGGAACTTGCGGATTCGTTCTGGCATAAACCTAACTTTTAACTTGCATAAACACAGAAAGAGAGAGAGAGAGAGAAATGGGCAGATAGGCTCTGGCCCTCTCTTGGAGGACTTCTCGTCCGACACAATGAGGGCTAGTCCCTATTCAATTGCCAAAATAACATAAGAACACCAATTTACTGTGAGGGTGTGGCCGAAGACAAAGTCAAAACTCTCAGGAAACATGTTTTGTCCTCGTTTCTGTTTTGCGTTTTTTTTTTTCTTATTTTGACCCTAACCCTTCTCCCCCCCCCCCCCCCCCCCCTCTCCCCCGGTCCTTTTTTTTTCTTTCTTGCAGCGGTATGTTTGTTGTTTCAATCTCCGGCTCGAATATTACCCTGCTACATTCTGCTACAGTTTATCAAAATACGAGCGAACTGTCATCAGCCCTGTGCTTAAAGACGATGTTTTTCTTTTTTTCTAAACGAGAACCAGCTACATTGCCCGGTCGTTATGGTGTGCATGGGCAAGTACTCAGCGTTAAGGGGGGATGGTAGGTAAATACAACCCAAAAATAGTTTTTTTAATATTAGAACCAAAAGATACTACGGTTCATACAGAGCATATTCTCCAAACGGCACGCTCGTAGCAGCACCAGAAGTAATTTAAAAATGGTGTCATCAATATACTATCCGCATTTTAAAGTGGGCGTGGCTTTAGAAGGCTTTCTTTACATTGCAACTTTCATTGAAAAAAAAACGGTGCAACTGGAAAGAAAAGTTGTTTCTAATTGATGCTACTGACAAGACATCGTGAAAAATTAGTTTTCACGATGCAGCACCGGAGCTTCTTCGAAGGTGCCTTCATGGGCGAACCCAGAAGTCTAACGAGTCCCTGAATAACCTGATCTGGTGCAGGTGCCCAAAGAAAACATTTGTGGGCGCATGCACAGTAAAAGCTACCGTGTATGACGCAGTTAGCTTCTACAACAATGGCAACCAAGCAAGGAAGCAAGTGTTTGAGGCTCTAGGCGTCACACCTGGAGTGTTTTGTAATGTGGCCCTCAACAGGATGGACAAGGCCCGAATAGTCAAAAGTGACTTTCGGATCTCTGCTCAGAGCAAGCGAAGAAGGAAGGCCAAAGCAACTGCAAGGAAAGGTTTCGCGAAGAAATCCGAGGCAAATGATGCTTAAGACTACACACCAGGTGCATTTTAGGCTGAGCGTTGAACAACTAAACTTTCAAAAGTGATTTGTGAAAAACACTGTTTTTGCTCGTATAAGGAACATTTTCTCTCGAACGAATGAACCTTTTCTTGTCATATTTCTCTCGTGTTTTGCTGCATAACCAGCGCATCTACTGAACTAAAAATATAATATTTGCATGAAAACTTGTTTTTTATTTACAAGTTCCTCAAGGCAGAAAGCACCTAAGTTGAAGTACCAAAGTTCAAAAATTGATTTTGAACGAACTAAGCATTTCAAATTTATTATTTTAGTTCAGTCAAATGCCAATACTGTATAGAAAGTGTGAGAGAAGTTTCATCGTTTTATTAGCATTAGTTATATTTTAAATGTTCCTTGACTAAGTCAAGAAAACTTCTATTTCAAATTTTTATGAATTCAATATACCTCAATAGTTTTAAATAATATTTTGCTTGGTATAGCTAGAAGGACAGCGAAATATGCCCAGAAAGTTTAAACCGTTTTTACCCAGAAGGAGCTGAGATAATGGCAGAACATCTCGAAGTCCATGTCGGGGTACTATCCCCCCTTAAGATATGCATTAGAAAAACTATGTATTCGACTTCACTTTCCCGTCGAGCACTTGTACTGGAACGTTAGCGGGCTACAGTTAGCTCCGTTGAGTGTGCTCTTCCCATGGCACAAGTGGAGTGCGGAGAAGCGACAGTCGCAGAGCGGGCCTCTGGCGTTTAGATAGATTCGGGCAGCCGCGATTAGTTATGCGCAGGGCACCGTGTTTTGCAATTCGGGGTTGATTTTTAACGTATGTGTTTTATCAGCTGGATTATATTAGAAAATCATTGTGGAGGACCGTCACGAGAAACCGACATGAATATTCCCACTAAGGTCGTTACACGAAGTCGAAGGTTATATGTAAACTTTCGAAGCCCATGACCCATATAAAATTAACACAAGCAGGGCGCACCAGCGGAGTAGAACTGCGTCAAGAACACAAAACGGAGAGCAACTGAACTGAGGGCGGCTGTGCCGGAGAGAGCGGCATCACATGATACCATGTGAACTCTCGCCTAGAGATGTAATTTTTCAAAAAAAAAAAAAAAAATTGAAAAACGAAAAAAAAAAAAAAGCGGACACAAGAAACAATTTTTTTTCGCAAGTTTTGGGAACATTTGCAACTTTGCCTCAGCGAAGGTAATCCTGTAATATTCTGAAAGATATTGGCATAGATCAGCAACGGCAAGAGCTTTTCACCAGGTTTTGTGGTAGTACTATTACCTTATATTATTTTTTAATGTCTATGAAATCTTCGTCAATTTAGCGGATCTTTGACTACGCACGTGGAAACAGCAATACTCTTCATTATACTAAATGTTGTATTTGGGTTTATTGTAGCCACCGTTCATCAATTATGATGTTATACAAAAGTATGTACTATCGGGGAAATATGAAATAGGAACAGAGGACCGCGTGACTCGCGGTGCAGGCTGCGCCTCCTGGAAGTGAGCCTAAATCTAGAATGTGTGGCCTACTCCGATGTCTATACGCCCTTCGCTCAGCGCTTCCCAAGCTTCGGCATTGCGCCTCTTGGTGCGCTGAAAGCTATCACCGCTATCGTTGCTCGCTCGACAGGTGCGACGCGAGGAATTTCGCCGCTAGTAGCAGATTACGCGCAGGGAGAACTAAGTTATCACTCATCTGTTTTAAAGGTTTTGAAACTTTACTTTAATTTATAGCCGCTGCACAATTTATAATGAACAGCAGACCAATGCTCATTTTGTGTATGCTTTTAAGGCAAAGCAAACAGTCTGACGACGGATAGATGCAGCAGACAACCACAGGCGCTCCTGTTTCATTCCACTTTCTCCCTTGCCCCGTCACCGCACCGTTTCGTTTTATAGAATAACGAATATAATATAGTATAATGTGTTTAATCTTCCACCTAAACTGCTGACGAAATTACGTCCGATATGATCATTAATAGCTTTGACGTAGTGATTGCGATTTCACCGTACGTCGCAGAAATTTGCATAATAGGCTTGTTAATAATTGAAATAAATTAAGTATTTTTTTCGCCTTTAATGCGAAAAAAAAAACAGTAAAAAATGTTTTTCCGCGAAATTCTTTGCTTTTTTCCCAGCCCTCCCATCACTATTTTCTCATCATAGACGTCTCGCAGCGCGCTGGAGCCAGGCGCGCCCGCTCAACTCCAAAACGTCAGCGGAGGGTTTTCGCAGATGACGAAAAGGAAAGAAGTTCGAGCGGCAAGCCCAGAACGCCGTACCTCAACCTAGCACAAAGCCCACAGACCGTGTATGTGGTTTGTGCTAGGCCTGTTCGGCTCAGATAAGCTCCGTTAAGGTGTATCCACACGACGGACCAAATTTCTGTTTTAGTCCGCGGGCCGCGCATCACGTGAGCTTACGTCACCGCTTTTCGAGGTCCGCCGGCGGTCCGCGGCCCGCGCTTGTGAGAAATGCCAAGCGCTTTTCTCGCCCGGACCTTGGCGGCGGACCGCGGCGTTTTTAGTATAATTGAAGTGCTAAGTCTGGCAACAAGCTGACTTTTGTTGTTTAGATTGGAATCCAAATCCAAAGTCGTGTTCTTTTGGCGCCAACTGTTGAAGACGAAGAAGACGAACCTTTTGTTGTGCGACGATGGCGGCATGGTGCGACGATGCAACTTTTTACTTCATCGCGCTCGTGGAGCAATTCCCCGCTCTGTGGGACAATAGATGCATGCCCTTTTCGGTTCACTTAAGTCCTCCTCGTCCTCAATAGTCAACGCCAGGGCCACCGAGGCCAAAAGTCGCTTTCGTTCAACCTCCATCTTGGCTCCTTACAAATAGCCTCAAAGCAGCTCGTTGCATGCTTTTGGCGGAGCTGTGAGGTCGAGGGTTAGACCGGCCCATTCACTCTGTCGTCTGCTCTTTTGGTCCGCCGTGTGGATGCTCATTGCAGCCGGGCGGCCCGCGGGCCGCGCATCACGTGATCAATCGGTCCGCGGCCCGGTCCGTCGTGTGGATACACCTTTAGCAGACCCTACACATCGTGCGTGATTTGTGCAGGTACACATTCCGTTCTCCCTGCTCTTTGTGAAGATGTTTAAGCTTGTGTTCTCTAAACTCGGGGGTGTTTTCTTTTTTTTTTTTCTTTTTTTTCCCCCACGGGTTCGGTGGATCCCGGTGTTAATTTTCGGTACGAGACAAAGAGTCGGTGTTTATCGGTGCTTTAGCTAATGAAAATTGGACACGCGATTGGATTTCCCCAACGCCCAGGGAACATGCGCGTGCACCTAATACTTTAAAAGCGCCCCGATCGTGAAAATGGTAGTAGCTGTTCGTACTATTTCCTACTACCCCTGGTAGTACTGTTTGTACTAGATCGTACATCGCATATTGGGGTAGTACGAGACCTAAAGGACCGCGTCCTCGCAAGGGGTGGCCCACGTACCCCTTGATCTGCCAGGGCACCAGGAGCATGCCGTTGACGACCTTGGTGCATATGTCCGAGGCCGGCGTGCTCTTGTCCAGGATGCTGTCGGCCACCAGGTAGACGGTGTAGATGAGCGACGGCCCGAACAGGCAGAGCACCGAGATGGCGCAGTAGTAGACCTGCTTCTCCTGGTAGTAGGTGGCCACCGAGTACCCGTCCTCGGACACCTTGTGGATGTAGATGCCCAGGTGCACCAGCGCTTGCACCAGGAGGAACGGGAAGCTGCAGCCCCGGCACACCGGGTCGTTCTGCTCTTCGACCTCGCGGTTCTCGGCAAGCACCTGTCGGAGTTAGAAATACAAAAGTCTCCTAGCCTGTTCGGCGCAACTTACGAGGTGAGTTTCCCGATGTCAAGAAAGGCCCTCCCTATACTCGCGCGCAGACACCATCTTTTAGATAGCAAGGCTGAGGCGCTGGATTTCCTGCGTCATGACTACAAGAGGCCGGCGCGAGTTGATTGAAAAAGGCACAAAAAATAGGGACCATAAACAAGTTGAAAAAGACAAGGCGCTTATGAGGGGCCTTTTCTAATCAAGTCATGTTCAGCCTGCGTACTGCACCGGCCCCTTGTAGGTTGTACCTTGTCTTGCTTGCCTAACTTGTGTGTGCTCCCTTTCTTTTTCGTCGCCTTATCTATTCAACGATATAAGCCAACTGGCCCAATCCACTCTTTAGTACAAGTACCTATCAGCGTTTGGTAAGGACACTAGTCCCTGCCAGATGCCGTAGCACTCGTGTGCAATCTGCGCACCGCGGTAGCTCCTTGTGGCTGACATACAAACTCCAGTGCTTCGACCTTTTCATAGGTGCTGGCGCAAACAGCTTTACACAAGTTTCAACAACGCCACAAAAGCGTGAAAAGAAGGGAGGGGAGGTGGAAATAGGGGTCACCGGGGAGCGTAGAACCTACGTGGTCACGGTTTTTTATATCGCGTATGTCTACGGGATCTATCCTGCCATGGTGCCACATCTTGAAGAGGGGAATCTATTAAGTACGTACCTGGGTAACTCCAACGAGAGGAAAGGGATCAAATACGCAATAGGAAAAGCTCAAAGGTTGATGTTTGTGAAAACTGCGAAGTGCTAAAATGACACGCTTCTCTTTGTTTTTCCGCTGCCTTACTGAGCAGACAGTCGCGATTTGTGTTAAGTGGAATCCAGAAGAAAAACGGGCTGTGAAATGTCCTACTGTAATTTTCTCGAAGGTTCAATAGGATAGCGGGTTTGTGAGATGGGCTCACACAATGCAGATCTTCTATATCGTGGTTTCGGTCATTGAAATCGTTTTGTAGTAATAGATAGTATCATCCACCGACCTTTATATCGGTGAGTTGAATCGATCAACATTAAAGTTTTATAAAAATTAAACATTAAAACACAAAACTACCGTAAACTTGCGAAGAAACATCCACCCAAGGAAGAACGCCCACCTCATGTTTTCCCCCTTTATCCCTCCACCGTGGGTGGGCATTCATTTCTGTTTTCACGGCAGCGGTATTTCGAACAAAATCACTTTCTTTAAGAAACACATGGACTGATATGAGCAGAAAAGAGAGAAAGAATTGATCGTGGCGCCATCAAGTGAGCACAGGACGGAACAATAACCCACGAGACACTCTTGAGAATTTCCTGAACGTGAGCGAGTTTCTTTGTTTTGGCGAATGTCTCGTCCCGGCGGCAGTGTGGGGCGCACTTGTTCTTATCTGCCTATTTCGCATAAAGGCCGGTTCAGACATGTGCGTTTGACTGCGTTGCGTCGATAACCGAAAGCAAGTCATCGGCCCATCTGTCCTTCGTATAAAGCGTGGAATCCAATTCAAGGAATCATCTTGGCACGCGATATAAGCAGCAGGGATCTCCTGGTTTCTCGCGGCCGCAACGCAGTCAAACGCAACTGTCTGAACCAGGCTTAATGGTTTTGTACGGGTACTGTTGAGATGCATGCTATGCGTAGTGCCACAAACATTTGTTTTTGTCCCGTCATTTCTACTTCTTTGGGGCAGCACGAAGGAAAGAAACCATCGAAACGACCGCGCTCCGAGGAGGATGAATCTCGTGTCCTCGAGGCGGCGTGGGCCGAAGTCCGGAAAACCGCGCTCGCTCACCCACGCGCTCTTGACATGCGGCGACTAGCAATCTCTCTCCGTACTGCGCCAATGCTCCACAGGCTCGCCAGAATTTTTTTTCTTTTCTATTGCCACACGCGATTCAAAGAGATCGCTTGTGCGGGGGCAACGCTGTTTTATCGTCAGTGGGCGGCCAGCGCGCACTAACTTTGTTTGTACTTGCAAAGTGAGTAGTACCGAGATTTCATTTAATTTGTGAAGAGAGAAGTGCGGTTTATTTAAAAGACGGAGCGACGCAAAATGCATATTGAAACTGGTTTGCTTTGCAGGTGCGGAACCGGCCAGGTGCTTCCCGCGTACATCGACCGGGCTGGACACGATGCCCCGCTTCCGACAGCCTTCAAGCCGGTGTCAAACTGCTCATACATCATACAAAGGACGGCCTGCAGCCAGCGCCTGAGTTGTTTCCTTGTATCACGCTGGTCATACACAAACTGTCTGGAGACATGTTCGAAGCCCGCATACTGCCGCGTGCATGACAGAGAAGGAACGCTTCTTCGTACTTCTAGAAGATTCGAGCCTGCGTTTACCCCGAGTGTAAAACGTAAGGAGGCCAGAATGACATTGCCGAGTCAGTCTCGCCCTATAGCTCGCTCCCGGACATATTCTATACGTCGAATATTCGAGATACCGAACGTGGTAGATATATAGCTGACCATGGCAATCTCTTTCTCTCGCTCCAGCCAGCCGTCACGCCGACGCCGCGACGTTAGCTGCTGCTGTTGTTTCGACGCTTGATCCTTTTTTGGCATCTGACACAAGTTCGCGTATTAAACCTTTATTCTTTTTTTCATTTTAAGCTCGACGAGCGTCTTTTTCCATCCGCTAAAATATGTATAACGTTAACATGTTTCTAATTTGCTGGAGACGTGTCCGCAGGTACCTTTGTCATCAGGCCTGCAACGAACACTGCGTCGTTTGTGTGATGTGTGAGTTCCTGCTTTACGATAGCTGTTTTGCTCAGAAGGTTACGTTTCCGGGTCCACTCGAATGCCGCTGGTGACACGTGTCGCAGCGGGCTGCGGTGGTCATCCGTGTTCAACACAATCGCGATGTCGTTATTTTCCGGAGTCGCTGGCATTTACCCAGAGAGAGGATGTGCCGAGAGATCTGAACAGTAATGAATGTACAATGATGTACAAGAGTTCTTGTATTGCCGTAATAGGCCTGTTTCTCTCAGCCGGTGTGCGCCGAGCGCCTCCGTAAGACTAAAGCCCCTTTACCCAAGATACGCGATTACGTAGTGCTTACATCCAGCATAAAGCGGCACTGTAGCGTTTGATCACGCACGAGCCACGGACATTTACAAATGTGTGTCAGCATCTGTCTACGCACGGTAACAGGGCGTAAGAAACAACAACATAAAGCTCAAATAAATAAAACAAAAATTCGTCTCGCGATTTTGGTGTTCTATCAAGACAATAAGAATGCTTTTCCCGTGTTTTCTTTTCTCGTTATTTTATTTCAAAAATTTATATCGACTAATGAATTGCTAGCTTAGCGTTCGCGAGCACAGCAAAAAAGCATAATGACGCACGACCGAAACGCGACCAGGAAATATTCGACTTGGCCCGCCAGAAGCGTTGCCCAAACTTGAAAGCTTATACGGGCCTATAGCCCCAATTTCTGGTAAATAACGATACCAGAAAAGCTTAACAGTAACTTTTTTTTTTCTTTTAAATTCGGGTACATTAGATTTCAAGATGAGTAACAATAACGATAGCGAACCAAACAGATAAGACACCAAGTCCGACCACAGCCAACGCTACGATCCTATAGGGCCAATCGAGGACCACCAAAAAGAGCATGCATCTTCATGGCGGTCGTCATCTTTGTGCGTTTTCCATCGCGGCTAACCGATCACGCGCAAAAGAAAAGCGTAGTAGGATCATGCATGGGGCATTCGCTGCACACGATTGGTTTAGCCGGTGACAGCGAAGGCACCAAGACGACGAGCGCTCGGTGACAATGCCCTTTTTGGCGCCGCTTGATTGACCCCGTCGGACTGTATGCGGAGAGCATGTCGTCTGCTTCTTGCGCAGGAGTTACAGTGACGTCATAACGACGCCGAGCTCCGATTGGCTTTGATTGAAAGGATAGTGGGTAGACTGCAAGGCTAGATGCCTTCGGGTCTACCCACTATTTTTTTTCAAATCAGTGCGCTCGGAGTTAGTGAGAAAGAGGAACAATTCGTGCAGTTCGAAAGGAGAACCGCCGCGCCAACGAGAGGTAGGAGTTTCGTGCCGTGGAACCAGGTGCCCAGACTGTATTCATATATTGCGATTAGTCAGCAGCTCATATAGTACTTTTGAAACAAAAAAGTATCCTGCAAATAAGTGGGGAACACGCATGGATGTCTCGGGGTTAAAGATAAATCATACGAGAACGTCCCAGTCGATCAGGTGTGTTGGCATCACTTTTCTGAATGCAGTGATGGGAGCGGCATTTGAACTTTTGTAGCAGGTTTGCTGCAGATAAAATATTGGTTTGAAGCAGCTCCAACCGCGTCTCAAGACGCTCGCGCTCCCCAGCCTTTGCAGTGCTTTCTTTCACCCAGTCTCAGCTGAGACCACCCTGGCTCCGAGACGCAGTTCTAGCAAGCCGGCCCAGAGTTCGCTGCTCTTACGATCGACAGCTGCACGGAAGCTGCCTTGACTACGTTCTTTATTCAAATATTAACACGCGTTTTTTCTTTTTTCAGTACAACTTTTTAAACATAGAGGTTAACCTACAATCCGGATCAAACAAGGTCGACCTCTGATAGTGCTGAGCATAATTTCCGGGCCTTTCGCGCTCACCCAGGTGCTCCCCCATGCCCGCCGCCGCTCCTTGCTCTCCGGTGCAAAGTGGTGAAGCTCGTCTCGGACGCTCTGGTGAGAGGCGGTGGACGTCGACGCGAGCGAGGCAAGTGCCACGGTACTCTGTATCTGTAGTCACGGCACGGAGGCATGTGGCAGACATGATAATCAAGTGGTCTCATCAGGAGTACAAGACCCTGGTTCTGTCTGATCACAGTATCCACGCCATCCTACTATGAGGCGAAGTTTTTTTTTTTCTCGACTTTTAGCTCCTGACATTGCCGACATCGTCTGGAAATAGAGACAATGTCAGCGATTAACCGGGCAGCGCCTCAACCGGCCAGCGCGATGGACGAGAAATCT